GGCCTCTTATTTTTGACCATTGTTATGTTTACGATCTTACATCAAGTCTAGATCCCAATTATTTTATTATTTTACGGCGTGACTCAGGAGTTTGCTCTGGTAAAAATTACTAGTCCATGACCTTTGCCCTGGATCAAGTTAGAGACATTGATTTTAAGGAGCCCATATCAGATTTCCACAGATGCTTATACAATTTGCCTAAGCAAATACATTGGAGTGAATTTCATTATCTTGAAAAGAACTCAGAATTTAAAAGGTAGACAGAGTTCCAGATCCTGTTCTTTTCACTGTTTAGCTTGGCAAACTTAGGGAAGTTATTAAGTGCTATTAACCTAAAATTTACTCCTCTGTAAATTGGATCTGAAAGTCTACCTTCCTGAGCAGCCTTACAAAAGTATGTATATGAAGAGATATAAAATGCCTAACTGTTGCTAAGAATTAAAATCCTATTATGCTAATTTTTACATTATAATTGCTTTGGACTACAGTTATTCAAGAAGTATACAAATAGATTGACTGGTAGGCAATGTCAGCATTTAAAGAAGAAGACATTAGAAGTAGATAATGTCCTAATAATCATTTGGTCCAATTCCTTTATGCTAAGTATACATCCAGTACTCTAATGGTAGATTCAGACCTAAGATCATCAGGATTAGTCAGTAACCAACCTTTAGAAGATCACCAGGTAAAACATGGCAAAGGTTTGATGAATGAAAGTAGCTTCCCTTAGGAATTAAAAAATATTATTTTCAAATGAATAGTTTACAAATTCTCAGTTAAGTAAATCACTATTGTCTTCTGTCTTTTTCAGTAACTACATCTATTCCCTTTTCTTCCTATCCAACAGGATAATTAGCATGATACACCACCATATTTTATAAGAGTTCTGGCTTATAAAAACTGGATGCCCAACTAAAAAGTTTAGGACCCTTTCAAATGATACTGCACTATTTTATAAGAAAAGAACATTGAAAAGTGAGGAATTCAGTTAAGGAAAACTGGGATCTAACAGAGAAAGCAAAGGTAATTAGAGAAGTAGAGAAAAAGTAAACTGCAATTTAGAAAACAGTCACTTATTAGAACAAAAGCATGGGCCTTGTAACAGAGGTTATTCAAATAAAAACTAATTTTCTCACAAGTTTGGACCCTCCTTAGGAAATTACTAGTCAAGTGTTTCATTTACACCTTACAGCTGTAAATATATCAATCTGATTTGGAGATGGGAAGCTATATGAACAGAATGGAAAGGGAATTAATTCTTATGGATGGTCAAAGATAAGCTAACTCAACAATGGCAAAGGTTTAGAAATATTCCAAGTCAGAATTGAAGTGCTTCCTTCACTTCCACAGATGGAAAATGCCACAAAAATATAACACAAACATTTTCCTGCTGACTAACATCAGCATGACCCTTGTTTATTTATAATATTACTTATTAGTTGGGCTTGTACAAAGGCTTCAGATAACTCAAGGAATAATCCACCACTTTATGTGAATACCCTCATGAATATAATTAACATCCTCAAATATCTTAGATGAATTTCTGCATGTGATGAAAAAAGGTAAAGAGTTTTTATTCTCTTCTTGAGGCTCTATTCCTATGAACACAATATGCAGCAACAAACTTAGACAAGTACTCAGCAGTCATTGAAATAGTCAATGTAACAACCATTGCTGAATTTCTATCCTCTTGTTTTGTGAAATTTTGTATCGTTTCTAATTTTTTAATTTATTATTTATTCTCTTTAACATAAAATATTGAGAACTTTCAGAATCAAATAACTTATGTTTATTCTTAAATATAAAGTGAATAGTAGTCCCATGTGTGTTCCACAAGGGTTCTTATTCTCTTCAATGACAAATTCTCCCATTATAAACAGTCTTTCAAGGTATCTAATATTTGAAGAACCTCCTTAGTAAGACATTTAGCTGCTCTTCCGATTTGGAGCAGATGCATCTCTTAACAGATTTTCAACTGACCTGTGAGCCCTGGAAGGTTGAATAACTCGATAGGTGATGGGTATCAGGTACCTTAGCTGTGATTTAACTAGGACTAGAACTACTTAGTTCCTCTCTTCCTTTCACTTTAACCAACTGTCAAGGTACACCACTGTTTCCTGTGTCAAAGGAATTGGCATCATGTGTAAAGTGGTTTTTCATTTAAATTAGCCTGTTATATCTATATTTGAAATTAACTAATCCCCTCAGGGTAAGCCCAAAGGAAACATTGTAGCTATTTAATATCCTGAAATCTGAAATGAGGGAATTTCTGGAGTTTTTATTACTGGTAGGTAATTATGTTCTCCACACAGATTCATAGGACCTGTATCGTAACTGGTCCTTCCAACCTGACTTAATTTTAATCTTATTTAATTAGAAACTTCTAAAATCTATAATTGGACAAGCATTCAATTTTTCCTTGGAAGCTAAATGCCCAAGTTTTGGTCAAATGATAAGAAAATTAAACACATACACACACACACACACACACACACACACACACACACACCAAGATGCTACTGTAAAGAGAATAAAAAAAAACTTAATTTTACTTGAACAAGGTCCACATGAGTAACTATGTACCGTGGAACAAGTTGAGTAAACAATCCATTTCCAAGTGGCATATTATTTCAAAGTATAGGAAGAATAATCTTTAAAAATAATTTCTCCATATAAACTTAAAAATGCCTGTTCAAAAAGAAACTGGTGTTTCTTTTTAAAAATATGCAAATAAATGGTAGATTGTAAAGAGATAGCAAATACAAGACCTATATTTAGTGAGTAAAGAGTGTGAACAATAGAAGTCTAAGTGAATTGTGAAATGTTAATGTATTGTTCTTAGAGCTTTTGCTTCATAGCTTCGGAAACCTCCAGTATGTACAGAGTTCAGAAGTAATTTTCTCCTGTTATTCTATTGTTCGCTGAATTAATGCATTTTGTACAGCATAATAAACATTTATCACTCTTTCTTAAGAACATTGACCCCAAAATATTTAGCTAGTGTGATTCAATTGAAATGTTGATTGGAAATGAGGAAATTAAACTGCCACTGATGAAATACTAAAGCTCATTATCACGAAGTTTCATTTTAAGTGTTCAGAATGAGTTTTATAACTGCGTCAGCAGCGATAAGTATGAATCTTAAATCCATGCCATTTAGGTTTTATGAGCATTATTAAAACATATTAACCATAATTCAATTAATTCACAGAAAATGCTATTCTATGACTTTTTTCCTTGGGTCTCAAGACAAAGTGCTGCTTGAGGAAGCTCAAGCTCTACTCCTATGGCGTATATTCTACCATTTATCCTTAGTCCTCAACCCACCTTTATGGACCTCCAAAGTGCTCACTCTGCTTAGATAGACAAATGTGCTAATGAAAGAACAGACAGCACAATAGTTTACAGCCACTCCTTCATATCACTAGGACAATACTGACCTCTAGTGTTCCCCAACGTAGAGAAACTAGCTCAGCAATACACCTAACTTCTCTGGCAACCACTTAGCTCGATCTTTTTCTAAAGCAACATGGGAATAATTTTACAGAAAGAGGAAGAAGAAAAGGAGGGTGGGAGTGAGAAGGAGGCAAGAGGGATGAGGTAAAAACAAAAAAAATAGATTCTAATTTGCTCCTGTATATTTCCTGAATTAATTCCCAAACTAATTTTGTCTCTTTCAGTCCTCTTTCAGAATGCAAACTTTAATAAAATCTTTACAAGGCATTGCAAGTAATTATAGAGCGTAGCCTTCCAAAACTTCTGGTCACGTGAACACGCGCTCTGCTCTGGCCCTTTCTGGGGGCATGACATCTTATAATGGTTTTCTTTGGAGGTTCAGCCCTAGGAAGAGATACTCCAGGTTTCTGTAGACCACAAGGGCTGGGGAGTGAGACAGAAGGAAGCCTAAGCAATAAGTGGCCTTTCTACCTTTCTCTACAAGTGAAAGTGCATTTTACAAATAAGACAATTCTGTTCCAATACGCATAACATTTCTGAGGTTCACGGCAGGGATAGAGGATACCGGATCAAGCCTAGAAACTTGAGGGACCTTGATAACCCATCTTTGGAGATAACACAGATGGCTTAACTGCATTCTTCCTCATTTAGGAGTTCCCAGAGCTGGAGGGGGAAAAAACACACACAAAAAACTTCCCTTCCTATGTAGAGAGGCAGCCGAGCAATTGAGCTGGAACCTCTGAGAGCTCTAGCTATTTATTCAAGTTTGAAGAACTGGGTTCCTTAAATACACAGCGCAGGTGGCAGATCCCCGGGTGTCCAGTCTGCCTGCCTATTAAATGAGACGTCTGTCCACACTTGCAGTGGGTACAGCTGGATGACAGCGTGTACACTTAGTGCATATTCAGTATGTATTCCTTGGCACAAAAGATTGGGGGGTAGGGTGGGGAGTGTGGGTCCAAGCTCTTCCTTTTGAAACAGGGGCAGCCATTGATCTTGTGGTTGACTCCACTGGCCCTAACTCTTAGGCCAAAAGTCCCAGTCCTGTCAAACTGGTGCCTGCTGGCTGCAAGATACCCTAGTTGAAGCCCTTTGCCTAAGGCTGTGCAGAAAACGAGGTCCTGAGGGGGAGGCGCCACGGGGCGTTCTGCACATCCGAGGCAGCCGCATTCTAAGCCAGCCGCTGTGGCCGAGCTCGGCGGCTGGGAGCCCCTCGGTGCCCGAAAGCAGGTCCCTGAGCGCGGGACTAAACAAGGGCCCTTCTCTGCGAAAGCCCTGCGGAGACCAGGCAGCACAGAGCGGAGCTAAGACACGGAGGGAACTTTGTGATTCCGGGAGAAAGGCAGGAAACCTAGCAGGCCTGGCTCAGGCGAGGTCTGTTAACTTTTGGGATGGATTGGCGAGGGGACAGCGCTGATCCGCATCACCCGCACACCCTCTTTTCCTTGGCCGGGAGCAGACACAACTGAGTACACCTGAGTAGTTGACTGCCTTTCCGAACGCCGCGGTTTCCCACCTCTCGCATCCCCGCTCCCGGTACTCACAATTCGAGGCTGTTAATCCTAAATGCCAGAAGCCGGAGAACAGCAAAGTCCAAACGCTGGGCAGCCCCGGTAGCGAATCCATTTCCCCGAACGAGCGGTTCTTCCCTTCCCGGCGAATGCGCAGCCGCTCGGCCCGGCTCGTCTGTCCGTCCGTGCCTCTGTCCGTCCGTGCGTCCGTCCGTCTCCCCGGGCGCGC